AAATTCAAGATTCCATAAAATTCAGTGACCTATTCGTTCTAATTTTCTTGCCGTATCGGACAGCTCTGCTGCAACTACTGATATCACTACAAAAAATACGGAAGTTTATAGGTGATTTATTACAAATTATAGAAAAGGAAAAAGTGAAAAATAAATTTGTTGCGATAGTTCATATTTATTCTAATTATGGGACACTAAGCTTATATGAGTGTAAAAAACAGAGTCAAAAAAAAAACTTACTTTTATTTGAAAAGACTGGTGTTTTTGGTGGGGAAGGGATCGGTGTTCGAATTTTCATCAATCGCTCAAGGAAACGATCCAACTGACTAAAACGTATGTTATCGTGTAATGTTTCCAGTGAACGCAGTGGAGGCCAGAAACGGCGAATTTCTGAAACATTAGAAGATTCGCTTAGATTCACTACGATTGTAGAGGATGATAATGATAATGAACAACGGAAAACACTTATCTCCCACAGATATCTCATCTTCTGCTTTGTACGTTTGTAATCGTGGAGCACTCGACGATCGCGCGATTACTGCGGTAGACAAAACCGCCGGACCTGCTAAGAAAATGAGATTAAACTTAGTCTGAAGAAATATTCGTATACCAAGCTTTTCGACAAAAATAAAAGATTAAAGTATATTAAAACATTATGAAGGACATCTCAATGAGTGAAATAAGAATAAAATATCAGAAACTAATTCGAAAACAAGCGACTTACTGTTGGATAATCTTCGTCGTGCTGAATCATTCGATTTACCAAAAAGTACATCTGTGCTAATTAAGCGGTTATCCAGCTCTAAACATGTTACTTCCGAATAATGCAATAATTAACAGTGTCAGGAAGTTGATTCATAATGAGGACAGACAACAAAGCAAGAAGTAAAGCCAGACCTGTTAAGAAGCTGACTGTATGATGCTTGAAGCAGTACGGAAATCTCGATCGACGTGCTAAAGTAAAGCATTTAAGTATTCTTCAACAGACTTTCCAAAAATATGCAGTATGTGTTCGCTGATAAAGATAAAGAGAGAATTAATAACTGGACATATGGGCTCATATAATACATGCAACATCAGAATCATGAAAATCAGTTCAAGCGTTGGAATCAAATCACCGCCCATGCAGTTGCGGAATAGAACGCAACCACTCTGCAACTTCGTTGGCATCCCGACCATTTAACCAATTAACCGACTTTTATAACCCAATAGACGATAATTGCTTACATGCAGAACCGGGAGAATTGCGCCCATTTCTTGGACCAACAGTCACTTCAGTAGTAGCGGATGCGGGATCGTCCGGATTCACAAAATCCCTGTTGATGTCCACTGTAGATTTCTTGCAAGACATGTCGCTCATCGATTTCATTAAACCAACAAGATGGCTTTCTGCTGAAGAACCATGTGCCGACGTCTCCATATCCAAATCGCTTATTGACGAGCAGCTCCCTGCAAAACTTCGAGAGTCTGCTCCAGTTTCACTGTTTGCAGCAACACGCCGTCGACTATGATGCAGACTCCCAGGACTATGTCGAGCCAATTCATCTGTTGCTGAAAAATAAATGAAAAAAAATTGTACAATTTATTCCGATTATAGCACGAATACATGAGTTTTTTCGTTTAAGAAAAATGCTAACAGCCTCCTGTCAACCTCATCAATTAGCTCGGACAAGATAGCTGAACTGTTATTAAGGTAAGAAGATAAAAATGCATTTTCTTTTCATTATATATTATGAGTGTTAAAAAGATGAAAGATGATGCTTACTGTATTGACCGGAAGCAACTTCGTCCAGTGCAACCAAATTGACACTTTCATCATTTAAGTCATCTTCTGAATCGTTCAGTTCTAGACGCTTCTTGGTAAGTGCTAAAGCTTGAGCAGAAGCTTTCCCAACAGTAAGATTATTGAGGCTGGTGGATGAGCTACTTTCTGAATGGCTTCCGTCTGTAGCATTGTTAATTAGAGTTCCTGGAAATGCCGAATTTCCGGAATTGGTTACATCCTATAAGAGAACATAAATAATAAATTGATAATTTATCTGGATTCAATTTCTGTTTTGTTTTCTTAAAAGTTGCTATCTTATGGTTAAATCTGTCTTATGGATTGGAAAATAAAAACTCAGATTGCATCGCTTTTTATCAAGTGATTGATGACAAAGATAAGTGTTGGTTGATATGGACGTTCTATTCACTTATCTTTTATCTGAATACATACGAAAGAGAAATTAAGATTAGACTGCGGTAAGATTGCAACCAAGATGATTAGCTATTAAGATATTTAAAAATCTACATGGTGGAGAGACAACTAGATGATACCTTTTCACCACCAGCAATTTCCACCGATGATAATGAAGCAGTTGATGTTGTACAATTTCGAGTCGAAAGCTTTGATTTTGTTCCTATTGGTCCTGAAGACTGCTTACCACTTGAGCTGGAAATGAAAGCATTTAAACATATTAATAGCAAATGTGTATGCAAGCAATGATATCAAATGATCATAATTGTTTCTCTAATGCAAAATGATGAGTTTTGAAACTTGATAAACAATGTAATTGTAGGACGGCAAGATCAATCAAAGTCATCATGGTGAAAAAAAAAAAAATGGATAAAATCCAGCTACCGATAAACCAGTGATGAATCAAATATTTCATATAATGAGTTACAGAGAGTGGATATGATGACCACAAGAAAATAATGAAACATCACTGCTTGTTTCAGCATGCTACACTAACTGGAATTCAGTTATCAAAAGAAATTGACTTTGGAAAACGCGTTTCATAGATTCTTTCCTTTTCAGTTAAAAAGCAAGGATAAAGGCCTGGTGAAAACAACAGTTCGATATGAAACCGATCAGTGCCTTGTTTCGTACTTGTTGTCCGACTATCTTCGTACACCATCAAAACCACTTGCGTCATATAATTATATTCGGTAACTGATGACAGGAAGTGCATAGCACGTTGCCACTTCTTATCATCTACCTACACGTAATACTTAGAAAAGAAACTGAATAATACTGTTGCAGTCAAAAATTAAAAAAGCCAAGCATAAATAAATTACTTAAATTCCTTGACAACAAATTTTTCGTATTTTAGTAATTGAAAAAAGATATCAGATATTGCAGCTAACAGAATCAACAATGCACAATTTGAAACTAATAATTAATAATTCAGACATGATGCAGTTATGTGACAAAATATGTTCATATGGTTTATGTGTCATTGTGATAAGAAATGCAGTTATTAATAAAGAATGCAGTAATCACATTGTAAAAGTCAAAACAAAAATAAGGAATTAACCTTGCATAAGCCGCCATATTTTATCAAATTCATTATAGTATGTATGTGTGACTCGCTCGTAAAATAAAGGCGAGTGCGAACATGTCGAAATGGTGTAGCAATTCCTTGTGACGCTCTGGAAAGCAAATAAAAATTAGGAAATAAAATTTGAAGCTGACTGTACTAATTGCAATGCAAATAATTACCTTGGGTCCAGACGAGTTTGTGTGTCATCTTCATTTGGATTTTCGACGCAGTGATAAAGGTCACTTTTTATTTTTTCAATAGTGGAGTGCAGACATGTTGTCCAATGATTACTTTGCTGTTTTCACTAATCCCATATTCCTGGAAAAGTTTTTAAGCATTAAGCAGTTTTTAAGTTTTTAAGCTTTGAATGTTACTGATAACCGCTCTTCTCTTCGAATGTGAATCTATCCAAAGCTTAACATCATGTCAATCAGTTAAGGAAATATCTGTTGATGGGTTGAATACGGACGGAACTAACATAATACCTATACATTCAACGAAAAAATACCAGGGCCACAATCAGAAGGCTTAATTTAAAAGCATCTGTTTAAAAAAAAAAAAAAAAAAAACTTTAAAACCTGAGGAACGACGATATCCGCCATATTTTTTGCACATAAGTACATTCTTTCAAACTGGCCTTCATTATTAATACATAATTCCGGATTATGCTCCATATCATATTTGATGTTATCATAAATATCCGGAATTTTAGAAATGTCGAATTCTACATCACCATTTTTGTTAACTCGACGGAATTCTTGCAATTCTTTAGCCCAACGCCGTTCTGCCAAGTCCCAAGATTCATTCAAATACAAGGACCGATCTTGAAAAATCTACTATGCGTAAAACGCATAATAATACCGCAGAAAAAATTATTCATATATATCGAAATGTTTGCTTGAAAACGAACTTGATTTATTGCATTTATGCCACTGAATTATTTCAACCATTTGTTGTACATAGCTTGCAATTTCTTCACACATTTTCCGAGGATTTTTGATAAATTCCATTGCATTCGTTAGAGAACGAATACCTGACGGGTTTAAATTTTCATGATCTTCTGCTGTCCAGTCACGATCTACCTGCAAAACAGCAAATATATTTTTTCTTTCATTCTAAAATTTATATTAAAATTTACAAATAAAAAGGTACTTGTAGTGCTGAATGAAGGTAACATTTCAGTTCCTGCTGAAAGTCTCGCGCGTTAACATCATCGTCCAAAAGTCCATCAGTGTTCGCTGATTTAACCATTTGCATTAAAATTGGTGTAAGCTCACCCTCCAATGCCAAAAGACCCTAGAATATCAGTAAAGCGATTCTGAAACCAAAATTGGTTATCACAAAATTTGTATTCACCTATTTCTTTCTTTAAAATTGTATAAATTATGACTTAGTTCATAAAAAATGAAATAACTACATACTTTAGCAAAAGCAGCTGCAGTCATCTGTACACGTCCTTCGTCAGATGCATAAATTTTCAAATCGTGTCTGTAGGTACTATGGAGACGAAGAAATCCCAAACCTAAATTTAATGCGAAAATGAAACGGATCTTAAGAGCAAAATGGAAAAGAAAAATGTGCAAGAAAACTCGCTTCAAAGCGTTAAAACTCAACCATTTGGGAACAGAAAGGTACCTTGCGTATCCTCTGGACAACTCTTACCATCGGTTCTTCGGATTCCAGGATACAAAGTTCTAAATAGCTTTCCAAGCGCTTCTGCCTGTAAATTACCTAAAAAAGTTTAAATTAGATACTTCCGTTCAACTACTAAATTACAAGTAGAAACATCGATTGAACACTTCAGGAGAAAAATGTAACCTGCAGTAGTCAATTCTCCACCCCATTTTAGAATAAGCATAAGTGCTGACTGCTGATGCACTTCTTCATCATCAGAACTTTTGATTTCACGTGGTTTCAAATATTTCAACTGCACTTTTCTATTGATACCCGAAAAATGACCATACCTTCAAGCAATTGCAATTAAAAGGCAGAAATTTTCAGTGTGTTGTAATTTTAAACGTAAAAAACTTACATTTCAAGAACAGTACGCACTTGATCCCACTTTTTGATTGCTTCTTCACATTGTTCTAAATCTCTTTCAAGTTTAGAGGAACTGCCGTCATTATCTTCACAAGATTCCATTTCTTTTAATGATTCATTACGACGCCCCTTGAAAATGAAAAGATTTCTCTAACAGCTCTACAAGAAGTAAAATTAATGAATTAGTAAGTAAAATTAGTACCACTAATTTAATAATGTTGTTCTTACTTGCTGCTCATGAAGGATTTCGCGAGCAAGTTCAAGCACTTCCATAAGTTGGTTTGGCCGTTTCATTTTGATTTCATTTTTATTGCATCCATTATACTTTTTGAATAAATCGAAGAATCGCTGATCCGTTACAACAATCTGTTGATAAAAATCGATGAGGAAAATAATTCATACGAAGGAAGTAGATATTTTCATTTTATATTACAGTTCATCATAAGAATGGAAGTGAGTGCTCCATGCAATAAGACGAGAAAACAGAAACGAGCAGTTCATTTTACTGATTTCAACAAAGGACATGCGTGGCAGAAAAGTGACGAAAAGTAGTAACGTGATTCAATATTTACGTAACATAACAAAAAGCATCCTAAAAATTTATTACAATTATTCCTTCAAATAAAAAATTTTACAAAGTAATGTAACCTTCATTTTCTGTTTTGGAGTTCGATCACCATGTCTAATAATGGCAATGACACACCGTAATTCCATTATTTTTCCACTCGGTGTTGAAACCAGAGGCGGGTCATCTGTAAGCCAGTCGAAAATTGATATTAAAAAAAAAATTAAAAAAGTTGAATTGTGCTATATCACAATTCAACTGCATATTCAGAAATGAACAGAAGCAAATAATTTGAAAAAGACTAAAAAATAACCTACCATCCTGATATGGAATTTGCCATGGTATGCTCATCGATGATGCCAATCGCCTTAATATAGTATTTCCTAGAATCTTGGCCGTGTCCTCATAATACTTTGTTGAACTTTTAACAAATGAAAATCCATTAACATCACACACGAAAGATTTGCCATTTGCACGCAACAAGTCGAAGCCACAAACAGTTTGCTACAAGGAAAATGAATTTAATCAGTGAAAAACTAATTATCGTTGCTTACAGTAAGTGTTTCGGTGAGTGTTGTGCAAATCAGTGCTTTATCAATTTTTTGCAACTTACCCCAAACGCCATAACTACTTTTCTTGCGATCAGCTTTTCCTTGCTACTCAAAATAACTGGATAACGAACTTCTTTTCCATGAGAATCACGTTCAACTTTTCCATCCAATCCAGGCGCTTTCCTAGCTTCTGCATGAGCATAATACGGACCCACGGCATAAACCTGAATCGACACAGTCCTTTAAAATATAATTCGATTTATCCTCAAACCTTCTTAAATTACTACTTTATTAAAATCTGAAATAGTACCTTAACATCAGTGCCATCTGCTGGTATGAAATCTTCGTAAATGTAAGAACCTTCTCGACGAACTGTGCTTACGGGAGAATACCAACTGCTACGATTGTTTATCTATAAAATATAAAATAACTTTCCGAAAATAATCCTCACACAGGTTCGAAAAACGCTCCTTCTAAAGTTCTGAAACAAAACATTTCACAGTTTTCTTCCTTAATTTTTCAAAAATAAGAAAAATTGAAATGAACCGCTCATAATTCTGAGTCATGGTTCAGAACTGATCCGGAGCGGCCAATTACATTTTAAGATATTTTTGAAATAGTTAGGCCACATAAACTACCTTTAACTTTGCTCAGGCATTAATTCTACATAAGATTCCGCTGACTTTTTGAATTTCCAATGCAAAACATACTGTGAAGGATATAAGACACCTGAGATTTATAGAACAAACTAAAATACATTGCAGAGAACACTAACTAAGTACCTTTTAGTTCCACTATTTTCCAAGTACAAAAATGTAGCATATCAACGTAAAAATGTAGGGTATTTCAAATATAAAAATAACAACTCAACAAAATATAACAACTTGCAGCCGTTTACTATTAATCACAAATTTAGTATTTAATTAAAATGATTAAGAACAATTACACTTTTATATTTGAAAATACTTATTCATATTTGATCCGAAATTTCCTGATGGCCAAAATTATTACTTATATGATTGAAAAAAGCATCTTTCCCAATTTTGTACGCATTAACATATGAAGCAAACCACTAAGAGTAGCAATTTATAAAAAAAAAAAAAATTTTTTTTTATTCTCCCTGAACAATTATATATTCAACATAATCTGGGTAATGTTTATTACCTTTCTGAACAAACGTTGTGAGCCACCACCAACGGAACTTGGATAATAGATGTATACATTATGATCTTCAGCAGACAACGGCTTCTCCACAAATGGTTTGTTGAACATCATTCCATTGACCTCGATATGATCGCTAAATTCCTTCAACGTCCCTTCTCAACAAAAATTTGTTTTAGAAAACAAATTGAAAGTAAAGATAAAACACACCAAGACAATAACTTTTGAAATTGACAGCAGTGCAACAACAATGATATAAGAATTTGAAAATGAACTTGCCAACTTTTCCTTCCTTGTCACGTAAGAGAACACCATGACGAGGATGCTCAATACCTGCGTGAGCTAAAGCTTTGAAAACTTTGCGCCGATCTAACTGAAACATTTTTCAAACTTAATTAAAAAATTGTCGTACTAAATGAATAAAAGAATACGGAAGATCAGGAAATAATTCTATTATGTAACTCTGCAGGACACTTATGTTGCCTTGCTGATCGAATAAACTGACGATTTAAAATCTAAAAAAGCTAAAGCTTAATTAAGAAATATTTTACAACATCGAAATAAGACTTACTAGATCATACTGTCTATGTAGGTCATTAATAACATATGGATGCCTTAAACGTTCATATTCGATAGCTTTATGCAAGGGAAAATCAGCTGCGTGGAAACTGATCAAACAATCACACAGCGGCCATCGTTCAACAGGCTCTTTCAATATTACCTCTTCAGGAAATATCACAAACTCAAGCCAATTCTGAAATACTGGACAGACATTTGCACTGCAGTAAGTGTAAAGTAATACTGCTGCATAGTAGATAAGCAGTGAGAAGTGAGAACGGTTGCACTCATCTGCTTGAAAAAATTCAAAAATTATTGTACTGTTGGAAGCATACCCCGTAGTATTCAACTATTTTTGCCATGATTTCTTGCATCGGTTTGCTTGTTGCTTTTCTTTTCATCGTACAAACTCCGATTACTATCTCCAAAAAACAAAAAGGTAGTAATAAAATAATTATATTAAAATTTTCCCAAATCCAACTTCTTTTTCTACCGAATCTTGTTTAGAAATTTAAACCCTAAGTTATTACTTTTATGAGACCAGTACAGTTGCCCAATTTACAAAAGAATTTATTCGAAAGCATCAGAGATAGAAAAATGTTAAAACTATGTGCTTATGATTTTCCCTTATTTAATGCCCTAGAATGCCTTGCAAGTTCCTTAATTATAGAAGCCTAGAATTGGAATCAAGTCCCTTAATTCCAATTCTAGACTTCACCAGTATCAAAACAGAGATATGTTGCGACAGAAGTTACGATGTGCAATGTCAATACATTCTTTCGACTTCTACTGACAATTTGAACTGAATCAATGTTGTCGATTTTTTCCCAAACTATCTTCCAAATTCTTGTTTGGCTAGTCAATCAATCAGACATAAAGAATCCAACTTTCTTTGCTGATTCACGACTGGATAATACTGTTGGCATGACCCAATGCAATTTCTATGCTTCATTAAAATACCAATCGACAACAGCCACAAATAAATCACTGTAGTTGTAGGTGACAGGAATCAGTCCTCAGATTGGAGCATTTCATTGTTGGAAGAGTGTTTGAGTCTAAAAGACTTTAACTGTTTAATGTGGCGATTTAAAAAACGCACTGCTTGCGGTCACTTTTTTTGGAAGACCAATTTTAGACCATTATTCCGGAAGTTATGAATATTCTATTTTAATTATATTAACTCCGTTTCATTTTCCCACTGTTGTTTTGAGTTACACAAAAAGCACTGGTGACGCACTCATGCAACCACTGCAACAATGGAGTGTCGATTAAAATGAATCATATCATTCATCCAAATCAATTCAGCAGTACAAAATGATATTGCAGAAATGAATTTATATTAACAATTAAATCTCGAGTCCCAAATTGAGGAAATATATTGTATTGCAATATACTATTAGTCAGACTAGTCTAAATCCCTCAATATAGCATCACGAATGGTGGACATCACGAAGGTGAATATCATGAATTTTGATTGCAAAATTCAAATCATTTGACGTAACCACCGTCATCTGGTGCATTTAGTGAGTGCACTGTATAACTTTTATTATTGTGTTTCTAGTTCTTCGCAATGGCAGTATCTCCATTGTTCTTATAAAACTGATCTATCCGTAGTAAATAAAGATAAGGTCATAGCTTCGATTTTGTAGGACATTGAAACACAAATAAAACTGATAGACAGTATTAAAATAATTTGAGGAAAACAACTCTACGGGCTATGCAAAATTCAATTCTGGAAAAATTTCCGATAAGTTAAACTATCAAACTCTTTTTGAACGTCAGAAAAGGTTTGGCAACACTAATGCAAAAAGAAATCTACAACACTAACATCTGCTTTAAAGTCCTGGCTTTGGAAAAACATAAATATGCTCTGAAATCGTCAGTTTCTCACACTTTCCAACCCAATAAAAAAATATACATAAACAAATAAGTCCTCGACTTATGTTTCACTAGACAAAAAGGGGAAAGCATGTATTAATAGATTTGATAAATTTTATTCCCGAACTTACAGGATGACAGGTTAACAAAGGTAATTCAGTTATATTTATAAATGAAACAAATTGGACACATAAATATTTGGAATTCTGATATTTTTACGCTGGTCGTCTTGCGAAATAATTACCACAACATATACGATTAGGAAAAAGGTAATGCCTTTGTTGTCTATTATTCCAACTCGGCCGTACTATTCTGGCGTATTTGTGCGGCAATTCGATCTAAATCTTTTCGTCCCTGAATGAAATTATTAGTATAAAAATGAAAAGATATTTGTTCCATGTAAAAAACATGCTACTATCTCATAACTAATTTTCACTTAAAGAAACGTCCTTCGGGAACCATTAGTGTGTACCCAACAATATATATAGAAATTTTATGTATGCGTAATAACTATACCCAATAGTTTCAAACATAAACGACCATACCTGCCGGGAAAGTGTTCGGCCATTACCTTCCGGATGTTTCTCAACCCATTTTATGGCCTCTAGTGTTTGAAGCGCTTTTCGAATAACAGAACCAGAAGCTTTAGAGAAATGATTTGGTGTTACTCCTCGTCGTTTAGCTCCACCATAAACGCGCCGTAACGCACCAACTCCTGTAAATGAAGTTCAATATGTATAAGAAAATAATCCCAAATAATTTAAAATACAATCTGGTTCTTTTAGAAAAATACACTCCCTGACATAGCCTCATTTAGAAAAATAAGCTCAAAAAATTAATCATCCAATTCAAATAAACCTTTTCGTAGGTCTCTTGATACTAACACTCTGTACTTTGACTAAATATTAAGATAAACAGGGAATGAAAGAACAAACCTGTTGGAGAACGAATGTAAAGACGGCGTGCAATGCTAGCAGTTCTGGTGTAGTACCAATCAATGTCAATAGGTGCAAGTTCTTTGTAACTTCCCATTTTCACAAGATCTGACCAATCAGGCACCTTCACTTTTCCGCTTTTTTTCAAAAAGTGTGCGATGTGTTTAACCATTTCATGCTGATCCACATCCTTAACACTCGTTGGTTTAACCATTGTCTAATATTCGTCACCCTCCGAATGTCTCTAGAAGATATGTCTGTTAATAATAAGGATGAAATGAAAGATCAGCTTCAGGTTGTATAAGCAAGCAATATATGCCATAATCTTTTTAAGAAATCATTAATAAAACAGTAATCAAACGTGTTAATGGACAGAATGCCTTACATTTTTAAACAATAGCTTCTAAGTTATACAATATACCACTGTCCTGGAAAAATGCTGTGAAACTAATTATGCCACAAAGACGAAACAAGGACTGAATCCAATGCATTAATACAAGAGCATAACAAAGAAAATATTTTAACATTATGAAACGAGTATATATAAATGAAGTGTGATGCGACATGCAACACTGTTCTCTTCCTTCACAACATTTTAGATGTAGCATGGCGCCATCTCAAATTCCAACACTTATCCTTAAACCGTTAAGAAACCACCACAAACACCCAGGATATACTGAACAACTTGCGAGACACACCACATCCCTACTTCAACTCTAGACCCTTAGTACGGTCTGTTAAATATTGTTTAGCCTACAACGAAAAGTATTGGATTAGAGAGCAAGAAGTGTTTATGTGTCGATGTGGCTTCTGTGGTCTGTTGCTAAAGTCTGTTGGTAAGATATAATTTGTCGGGGAATCTGGTTATTCCAAGTCAAAATGCCGGTCGTGACAGATATTTTTAGAAAAGCGTGGACAAACTTAAGATATGGAGGTATACAAAGACAAGGAACTTACTATTGATTATACGCAAGCTGTGTAAAGGAAGATGTGTGCCAAAATCTCGCAGCATTCAAAAGGAAGTACTTTGAAACAACTTACTGTGCCTGAACTGAAATGGGAAGTGGGAATCTGTTTTTAAAGAAACGGACAAGAAACATATTGCGCGAACAAAAGATAACTCATAGGAATCTTTAATGAATAATAAACGAACTCAATTCCTCGTGCATGGGATTAGTCACATAGCACGAAATACGTAACTTCTAGCGCAAAAAGACTCGCACTGAAGGGTTTCTTCCGGTTCTCTCGATGTAATACAGAACTTACGAAATCCAGATTCCCTATCACCAGTTTGTTTTCCTGACAGTTTCACCTATTTGTTAGGTTTGTTAATATGAAACATACAAGCTCCCAAGCTGACCATACAATTGAAATCTACAAGTCCTACCTCCGTACTATCTTCAGTAAATAACTAAGATTTGTCCACCACCTCTCATAAGATATTTTCCTTCCTGTGATTCCAATCCATCTCAGTAATGTCACAAATCAGTATTTCGCAATATTACTTTTCCCAATCATTAAGGAAGGTAATACCACTTTTTACTCCATCCTGCAGATTAAGTGGTATTCAAAAGGCTTGTGTCATCGGTAATCGTGATAATTTATTTTCACAAAACATAGCAAATTACGAGAAATCGCAAAGTTGGTACAAAGGTTAACAAAAATTTAAAAAATCAGACTAAAGCGAAGTTGCTTGTGCTTCTCAGAACCATGACAAGAGCACTTATTTTCGCCCCTGAAAGGGTTCATGAAGTCTCTCTGAAAAATAAACAAAAGATAACTAAATTCAAAGTGAGCATTTGTGAGCATCAATAGCTCGCAATATAATGAAGATGCTACAAATAATTACAACCGTAATAATAAAGTAATACAAAACAGTAAGAATAAGAGACGATCCAAAACGAACTACGAATGAAAATGTAAAGCGTGGCAGAACAGAACCCCAAAACTTATACTGCTGTTTATTGTGATAAACCCCAATTCTTGAAATCCACGGCGACAGAAGATATAATTAAATCTGAATGAAATTCAGCTGAAGAGACCTACATAAACATCGCACAAAGTTTGGAGAAAACGCCAAGGAATTATAAACAATAAAACTAAACAAATACACTTAGAAAAAGTCAACCATAAACGAATTTTTAAAGAAATAATATAAATCATGTCAGACCAAAAAATTCTTTAGAAGTTCCTTAGACAATTAAATTCCAATTATTTTCTACAGCCAAAACTGTTTCTATTAAATAACCAGTGACTTGTGCATGGTCTTGATCAAATTTACAATGCATAATATTACACAGAACATCTCATGTATTCTTAACATTTTCATCAGCAGTTTACAAATTATAACATAAATAGAAAGGGCAGCATACCACTACTAATTTGAATTAATGATAGCCGATTGCTGTGTAGTGATCAGATTCGCTTGTGATGAATTAACTTCTGCTGATGCTACCGCCCGCACTGTTGCGTCTACAGAACCACGTGCTCGTGTGCTTAATTCTGAATTGCCATGTCCACGTACTGTTGAATGTGTCCTTTCGTGTTTTGTTAAATGATCTGATCGCATAAATTTTTTTCCACAATGGCCGCAAGCAAAACGTTTCTCACCTAAAAAAATTTTTTGTATATCAAACTTGCAGTTCGAATATAAAGACTTCGAAAGTACAAAGTGAACACAAACCAGTATGTGTTCTACGATGCCGTTGCAATTCATCGGAACGTGTGAACCTTTTCTGACAATGTGCCCAGTCGCACGCGAACGGTTTTTGCCCTGCATGTCCTCTTAAATGTGCTCGCAAATGTGACGTCTTTCCATAGGTTTTTTCACATAAGTGACAAATGTGTAAACGCTGCTTCTCACCACTTTTAACCCTAAAAAACAAAAATGGTTTTTCTGCTCAAATTTTTTCTACTGAAAAACATATTAAATAATAAAATTCAAGAGTTGGAATTCTTTAATTCCCAATCATTCCTCGATAAACAGCTTACAGCTTATTGTTAGTACTGTTTTGACAGTTCGGACAGTTACACGCAGTTCTTTTAGGTGTTTTCTGCTGCTTGTATCCTAGCTGTTGACCAACAGTTGAAGCACTTGGTGTAGCATCGAATTC